GCTGCTGGATGTGAGTCGAGCTTTGCAAAAGCTGGTTCCCACGAGCGCCGGAGCCAGTGTGGACGCTGTCTCGGGTGAGGAGGGTAAGGTGAAGCTCTCTCCATCTCGCCAGTTCCATTTTGCTTTTGAGTTTTGGGTCTTGAGTATCAGTGGTCTGCGGGAGGATAATGATCAATGGTGTTTCCGTACTTTTTGTCTGGATTTTACATGGTTGTTTCTGTGTATGTGGGAGTGGGGGACATGGTGAGTAGATGGATAGATAGGTAAGACAATAGATAGATTGATAGAGAGAGGAGGGGGAGGGAGTGAGAGAGGCAGTGACACACACACACACAAACAAACAAATATTGCCCAAATATATCCCACGACCTGCCCTCCCACAGCCCTTGCCCGAGCCGACGACGCGGGCTACAACTCCCTCCTGTCCCTGGCGCTGCGACACCACGCCCTCCTGCAGCAGAAGAACGAGGACCTCCTCATCCAGCAGGGCCGCTGCACCGCCAGGATCGAGGCGCTACAAGAGGACAAGCAGGAACTCCGCGAGCAGCTGGAGGAGTACAAGCAGCAGATACAGTTCCTGTTGAACGGCAGGCCTCCGTCGACGCCGCCGACCACGCCGCCTGCCGCAGAAATCACAACAGAGTTCGACTTCGGCGGGCTGGTGCTGGAGGAGAAGTGCCCCTGCAGAGTGGGCGGAGCCGAGGACGAGGCGGAGGACTGCGCATGCTCGCCGCCCGCCAACGCCACGGAAGTCCCGCCCACCACGCAGGAGACCAAGATACTCGGGGGCAATGCCAGGTGGGTGGCGAGTGAGTGAGGGAGTGGTTGGATGGATGGGTGGGTGAGTGAGTGATTGAGTGAGTGGTGGGTGGGCGTGAGTGAGTGATTGAGTGAGTGGGTGGGCGTGTGAGTGAGTGAATGGGTGGATAGGTGAATGGCTGGACATGTTGATGGTTAGGTGAGTGAGTGGGTGGCAAGTGAGCGAGTGGGTAAGTGAGGTGGATGGATGGATGGGTAGCTGAGTGGATGGGTGGTTGAGTGAAGTATGATTGAGTGAGTAGGTGGGTAGCTAATAGAGTAAGTGGGTGGATGGATGTGTGAGTGAATGAGTGAGTAAGTGAATGGATGGATGGGTAGTGAGTAGGTGAGTGAGTAGTTGAGTGAGTGGCTGTGTGAGTGAGTGAGTGAGTGAAACAACGTGGACGTCTGATAAAATAAGTGACTGTGTGGGTGAGTAAGAGGGTGGGTGATTTATTGTAAGTCAGTAAATGAGTGAGTGAATGAATCAGTGGGTAGGTAATTGTTTAAGTAATGCTAGAGAAAACGATAATGAAGATAATAACGATGATAATAATAATAGTGATAGTGATGATAACGAGGAAGACAACATTAAGGTAGAAAATGATAGACGGGGATGCCAGTGACAAGCAGGTAATCAATTTCAATCAATCAAATACTCAGAACATCCCGTTTATCTGTGATTTAATCTAAATTAATTTTCATGGCGTAAAACCAGAAGCTATAAAACATTAAACATTAAGCCATAAACCATAACCGGAGACCTACTTAAGTTCACTTTTTCTCAGCAACCACAAGGACAGTTTTTGAGAGCGCTAGAAAGGTCTCGAGGTTTTGCATGGCTTAGGCTATGTGGCGTTCCGATAAGGGGTTCCTATAAGGGGTCAGGACACGAAAAAAAAACTAAAATACCACTTAAATATTGAAGCAACAGTGCATGGTTGCAGGTTTATTTAGGGTGCTATGGAAACCTAACACAGAGTAAATTACTTAATTAGACTAGTAATTGCATTTTGAGCGTGATAGACAGATTTAGGCCGAGTTCTTTATAAAAAAAAATGAACATTTTTTTTGTGCATACTGTTTTTGAAATTTCATATGATTTATTTATTTATTTATCAGAAATTCCAGTGATGTTAATCTGGTTGATAAATTATCCCTTTTTTCTCATTGTCGATTATATTTTATATTTGTATTTATGTATCAAGTACAGTTTGTTATTACTGTTTTGCTGTGCCTTTTCTATTTGTGTTCTCTTTCCAGAGTGCGGGACTGCGCGGGCCACCAGAGCGAAGGGTCCACAGAGAGCGGCATTTATGAGATCTTCCCGTTGGAGTGAGTCATCCTTGTATTTGTATTCTTCGTCTGGAGATTTTGGCTATTGGTTATTTTCACCGGTGTCTTGGTAGTGATAATGATGATTATGGCCATAGTTCATTTTAATTGGTTATTCGATTATAAGAGGCGGAGCTTTTGTTCTTTCTTTACCTTTTTTGAGGGGTAGAGGAAGATCAGTTGTACTTTTGTTAGTAACATGTTATTTTTCCCTTAGTGTGTGAGAGAGAGAGAGTAAGTGAGTGAGTGAGAGACTGGGAGAGAGAGAGAGAGAGAGAGAGAGAGAGAGAGAGAAAGAGTGAGAGGAGAGAGAGAGAGAGAGAGAGAGAAGAGAGAGAGAGAGAGAGAGAGAGAGAGAGAGAGAGAG